TATAAGACTATGTGAAAATATATTATATTATATATATATATATATATATATATATATATATATAGTATTACCCTGTAGTATGCCAGCTGTAAGCCGATCTGTATGAATGCGTCAGGGCTGATGCGTAGCTTCTTGATCTGTCCTTTTCCAAACTCCCTGAAGGGAAACACGTGACAGTCGACGTCATCTGCCAATGCCTGGGCAACAGCCAGGGAGCTGCACACTTGAGCCTGAACCTGACAGACAGACAGAGAAAAAGAGACGGGAACAAAAGGTGATTATTTGACTAATGTTAGGCTGAGAACTGTATTGTCATGGCTAAGCTTGTGTCCTCAAACAGTTCAGATTATGTTCTGTCTTGTAATATGCTACACTTTGTGTTAGAGATGATTGAGATTAGTATCTTCAACTGCATAAAATGAGTTCCAGACTTACTTATGTGCCTGAAGCATGACCCCCTTGGTTTATGTGTGGGTCATGGGCCATTGCAACACTGCCCCCCTCTGGTATATTGGTAAGTCAAGGGACTATTTGATGTACCTCTCAGGAAACATGCCCTTGCAATCTGTATAAACTCAGCCTTGATTTACTATTGCAACAGCTCATTTAACACTGGGGGTCTGAGATTGCTTCCACATACATGCTGCCAATGAAGTAGGTGCAGTTTAGTGCTTAAGTTATTGATTTAAACACAAGAGTCCATGCATAAACTTTAAGGAAAAACAAATGAAAAAGAAAATAAGATTATAGAGATTACAGACTCAACATAAAGGCAAACGAAAGTGGTGTTGATGCAGCTGATGTCCGACTGGAATACTGAGGTAAATGCAGCACTGTGTGAGAAACTTATCAGAAGCAGAAGTGCAGAAAGAGTGCGATGTATAGTAATTTTGTTGTTAATTAACAATCAATTTAAAGTTTAACCACAAAACAAAAACTCCAGGCGTGCCTTGGTGGCTTGCCTGGGCTGCAGCAGCCATTGATTTGAGTCCAACCCTTGGCCCTTGGCTGAGTGTCATCCCCTCTTTCTCCTTCTTTCCTGTCAATCTTTAGCTGTCCTATGTAATAGAGGCCAAAATAGAAACAAAAGTCTGTTGTTGTTTGGTGTAATCAGATATTGTGCCTGTTACTTATTACTGCTCCATCTTCCTTTGGCAACAAATACATACCCAAAACTGCCCTCCACCTCAATCCACACTGAAATATCTCAACAATTTCTAAATCAAGGGTGAACCTATTGTAATGTCACCAATTGGTTTGTGGTTTACTGTTTTGAAGATGGTGAAGATATACCTGCATAGTAAACATTATACATTTGTGTAACTTTGTCATTGTGGGCATGTTAGCAATTAGCTCAAAGCTCAAGGCACCCTTGTTCCTAAGTACAGCCTCACAGAGCTGCTAAGATGGCTTTTGACCTTGTTTATTAATTGATTGGTTAACATTTTTAGAGTAATGCTCATTCCTTGTCACTGAGATTTCTGTAAAATAAAGGTTAATTCGCCCTTTACTCCTTCAGTTATCACACAGGGGAGAAAGGTCCAGACAACAGACACTGAGGAAGAGGAGATTTCAGCCGTGTGTCCCCTCTCTCATCATTGGCAACATGAGATCTCTGGCAAATAAGATGGACGAGCTAACGGAGTTAGCACGGAGTCAGAAAGCGTTCCGGGAGAGTAGTCTGATGTGTTTCACTGAGACATGGCTGCACCAGAATATGCCTGATCACAACATCTCCATCGATGGCTTTCAGACTGTTCGGCCCGACAGGGATTGCACTGGGAGAGGTAAGCGGAAAGGAGGGGGGCTTGCCATTCTAGTTAACAGCAGATGGTGAAATCCTGGTCACATTAAGGAATGTGTCCGTCGGACGTTAAACTGCTTGTCATGGGACAGCAGCCATATTGTTCGCCCTGGGAAATCTCACATGCTTTTGCAACGACTGTTTACAGTGCTCCCTCTGCTAACCCGACATCAGCGTGCAACGTCATTCACACCGCCATAGCTCGACTGCAGCATGTGAGATGTCATACTAGAGAGAAGAAGACACTCTGTGGCTCAGAAGTAGAGCGTCCACTAATCAGAAGGTTGGTGGTTTGATCCCCGGCTCCTCCGGTGGCATGTTGTAGTGTCTGAGATACTGAAGCCCAAACTGCTCCCGATGCTGTGTGAATGTGTGTGTGGCATGTAGTGTAAAGCGCTTTGAGTGGTCGGAAAGACTAGAAAGTCAATATATAAATTCAGTCCATTTACCATTTACTTGGCCGGTCAGAGAGTCACTTATTAGCTATATCTGTGCATGTTTGAAAAACATCGATGACTGCAGGCAGGATGAGTCAGAAACTTGACAACTGACTGTAAGTCTGTGCAATTTTTGTATGAGGTATAAACTGCATCAGCATAATCCTGCCATATCACACCACATGCATTATTTATGCATAATGCATAAATAATGCTGACACACTCACTCACTCACTCACTCACACAGACACACTCACACACAGCTCCATTCTGACAGCTGCCTTCAGAATGGAACATTTAACCTACTATTTTTATCCATGCACTTAAAAACTTTTTCTTTTTTTTTTGTATTGTTGACAGATTGAAAGATTATCAAAAGAGATGCTTTGATGAAAAGTGGGGCCAGGAAATAATAAAACAAACAGGAAATGGAGTTCAAGAGAGCACCCATTCCTCCTTCAGATCCTGGTGATTGGTCAGTTTTACCACATACACCCTGACCTGGTGAATGCTGCATTTGGAATAACCCAAACACTGTGCTGAAGGTAAACACAAGGCCACTTTTTGAAATGGATTTTGATTTGGGAGGGGAAAGTGAATGCAAACAGAGGAAGTAAGCCTATTGTTCTCTGTGCACTCTAAGCTCACTGTGCCTATCTGCTACCAGGAGGATGTACGTGTTTGTGTCAGGTTAACTTTTCCATGTGAAAAAAGTTAGATATTATTTTTATTTAAAGACAGCAGATATACAAATATACAACATATTCAACATTAACAATGGCTAATCTACAGACGCACTACCAGGGTTCCCACTTTTTTTAAGAAGTAATTTTCCAGGACATTTCAAGGAGTGAGAGACAGTACAGGACAGCACTTGCTCACATTGCTCATAATTCACCAGTAGGTCAAATATTGACACATTTAACTATAGTTTTATTCCTCCTTTGTTACTGATACAGGTTGAAGTGTCTCAAGTTCATTATAGGTTTGTAAGTCAGCATACATACAGCTCTGTGTACTTGTACTACGTACATCTCCAGTGGATGGACTACAGTTAACAGTTTTCGTCTAATAAACCACCTGGGGGTCACCGAAGCTTCACAGTGGGTCGCAAGGCCTTCTTGATTTTAAGGCGTGCTAGAAAACTTTAAAAAAAAAAAAAG